ATGGTTATGAGCTACGGTGTGTAAGCAGGAACACATGGCACCTTGATCTACTTACGGGGCTTTACATCTCATTCTTTTATCTTCATCTATGTAAAGTGATAGCCACGGGTGGAGGAGGGGCAAGTTGGTGTTCGCGGCTGGCGGTTGGAGCTCCATGTGGAAGCTTTTGTATTTTCAATTGTATGTATTAGATGACAGTTTGGCCATATAGTTGTCTTTGTTTTGAAGTCATGTAAATGTTTTTGGGCCTTTAAAGCCTTGGACATATTTGTAATACCTTTGAGCTTTTATTTATGGTTTGGAATTAATTTTCCAGCTTTTTGGTAGTTGTATGTATTAAGCGTGCTGTTTTCTTTCGTGGTTTGCTTTGATTCCTTCTTATAAAACGTTGAGCGCACTCCCACTTGAGTGACATTCACTACCTTTAGTCGTGGTCCCGCACCTTGCTGCCCTTCGGCTAGTACGGTAGGACGGTAGGGGATGGGGTTGTGACATTTAAACACCATTATCATCAAATATCCAAAATACCCTCCAAATTTCCCTTATTCTCGTCCTGATCTTGAAAACCCTACCCCTTAATCATCATTTATTTAATCAAAACTTAATCTTGTCCCTTGATTTGAAAATAAACATACGTGGGAGGTTCACTACTTTATCTCTTTAAAAGATTTCAAAAATCTCGCATTCTCTTTCTTGATGAATATACACATCACTAGGAGACAACACCTTACACATTGTGCCATAATGTGTCATAATCCTTATCATTAAACCAAATAAAAAAAGCACTACATACTCAAAGTATCTTTGACATTAAAAAACCATTCGTTGAGATTTTACAATATAAATAATTATTAAAAAATAAAATTTTTTATGCACACTTGTGTAGCTAAGACCCTAATTTTGTACAACACACTTATCAACAATATGTGGCCTATCCAAACAAAGGTCTCACACCCCACTTAGACTATCCATGTCATATCCACATGGAAATAAAGTGCCATCTTGTGTGGGGTCTACAAGTGGTGTGGTGGAACACATTGCCCATTTGTGTGCCACCTCACATGTGTGAGCGTCCTTAGGTAAAATTTTGTGCAGATAAATTTTTGAAGCCATATTTTTTATAATTAAATTTCTAAAAATTCTAAAAAATTACTTATATATTATTTTTAAATAATTCTAACAAATTCACTTAGTTCGACATCTAGTAAAAGTTCAAAAAGAGAAATTAAGATCCTTTAGGAGATAGGGTTTTATGGTAATCCATTGGGCTAGCTTTGGAAAAGCCATTTTCAAGTCATAAACTCATGTCCCATAGTCTCAAACAGGGTATATATTTGGTATATTAAAGATGACCCAATAAATGGTTCAGTTTCTGGATTTTCAATAGATTACAAGTGCACCCCTAAGGACATGCACCCTTATGGATGCGCCCTTACGGATCCAGGGGTCATCTATTTGTATATGTGCATAGTTTTGATCAAGCGGATCTACTTTATCGAAATAGCTTCCCACTAGCGATTGTCATGTGCATATGTTGTGAATAAATTGAATTGTTAGGCATTCAAGCTTGTACCCTCTCAAGCCTAGTCTACTCACACAAGGGTTATTTTCACACATTTGTTGGGTTTTTGTGACTATTTAAAGGCCTTATGAAAGCATGCGACCAAATTTATTATAGTAGAATAATAAACTCTAGTGGGAATATAGCCCAAAGGGACCGAGATTGCCAAGACTCAGACTTGGCTTAACGAGCTAGGCCAGTCGAGTTACAAAACACTTAATACTTGAGTATAGAGCACAACTGATGAGGGTTATCATGGTTATCCCTGGATGATATCAGAGTTACCTAGGGTAGTGAACTAAGGGACTATGTGACCCTTGTGTGTGATGG